GGAGCAGGCGCCTCATTTTCAGGAGTGGGCAGTCGTGGGTCCCGGCGAGCACAAACCACTGGGTGCCTCCGGGCTCACGCTCCTGCCCTCGGTTTTCTGCACCGGTGACCCTCGTGCCCCCCCTGGCTCCCCACATCCCACGCAGGACGCTCCTGCTGCACCCCACGCGGGACTGGAGATGCGAGGGGGATGCTGCCAGCCAAGCAGCGGCCTCTGAGCCCCGTTTAATCTCCTCAAGCTGAAAGTGAGCCACGACCACAGCGAGCGCCATGCCGCCCAACGCTTCACGCGTTGACCGTCTGCATCGCCTACCAGCCGCGAAGCGCTGTAATTCCTGGGGTACGGTGGGGCAAAAAAAGATAAATCAGGAGATCAAGCAACGTGTTTGCAGTTAGAGAGGAAATCTGGGGAAGAATTGGAAGCAGGACCTGGATTACCTGCTTCCCACGCCTGCGCTTTAACTACAACCGCGTTACACCTCCCACTGAAACGAGTAAGAGGAGAAACGTGTACATCTGTGAACAGACCTCGCTTTTCCAGCGGAAAGCGCCGAACACACGCACACACACCCCTGCCGTGAAGGTCCAAAGTACGACAGAGCAAACCGTTCCTTCTCTCTCGCCACAGACACAAACCACAGCTTTTTTTTTTTTTTTTTAATTCCTTGGATGAAATTAGGCAGCCTGGTTTCTTTGTCAAAGATGAATGTGGGTCATGAATGCTGTAGTCTAAATTAGATTATTTTTAAATCCAGTTTAATCATTAAATTGGTACTAAGCGGGGTACTTTTCTTTAAACATTGAGACACAAACCCCAGCTTTTTTTTTTTTTTTTTAATTCCTTGGATGAAATTAGGCAGCCTGGTTTCTTTGTCAAAGATGAATGTGGGTCATGAATGCTGTAGTCTAAATTAGATTATTTTTAAATCCAGTTTAATCATTAAATTGGTACTAAGCGGGGTACTTTTCTTTAAACATTGAGCATGTGGCTGACTTCCCAAGCCACGATGCTGTCCGGCCGCTGAAGGCACCAGTGTCTCACCTTAGCAAGACATAGCAACATTTGAGATTCAAAATGAAAAACAAACAGGCATTTGCCAGAAATTCAGTGTATGCTTTGGCTTTGCACGGGCTTCGCAAGATTTAGGATCTGCAGCCTGAAGTGACCCGAAATCAACCCACTCAAGTCAGTACTCAAAAGGGCAGGAAACTCAAAGGGCTGTAACTCAAAAGGGCTGTAAATAAATGATGCAATGTGGTGATTTATGTCTAAATAACCATTAAGAGTTGTTCCCAGGTACGTTAGTCTGCTTGCACACATGTTTTTGATATCCATCCACAGCATTGGCAAGTATCTTTAAAGCATAAGGATTTATTCTTGTTTTGGAGGAGCTAGAAATCTTTCTGGATCATTTGTTCAGTCTCTGTGAACACCGAGAAGAAGCCATAAGCAATCATGGCTCTTACGTCAGATGTGCAGAATGGGGAGGGCTGCAGCCCCCACGTCCACACTCCCAGCTGCAAAGAGCGACTCACCTAGAGCTCACAAAGAGCTCTTGCCTCATCTTTCTGGCAAGGACTTAACTTAAGCGGTAAACAGAAGACTCTTCACCCGTGTTCGTTAAACAAACTTTGTTTTATTCACACAAGGCAGCACACATATATTGCGGACAGGAGGCCAAATGTCTATTCCAATAAAACAGATCCCCTCTTCTTAATACTGCAAACTCTTTTAAGATAATTTTCTGTAAGAACCGTGATACACCTATTAACCAGTACATATTCACCTTAAACCCCAGACAAAAGAGAAGCAGAACCTGGGTCTGAAGTCAAAGCTCAGGTGTGCCATCCGTTGGCGGCCGGGCCACTCGCTGGCTGACCAGAAGATGTTACAGAGCCAGCGACGGGAGCAGAGCCGTGACAGCTCAGACGTGCTCAGAACCTGCCCCGGCTGTGTTTCCTTTCCTTCATTTTTCATTCTCACCAATTCAAAACAGTTTGAGTCAGCTTTATGTAAAATTTAACTGGTAAGAGCCATAAATCCTAAAAAGTTATTCATGTGTTCAACAGACACCTCACAGTGTTCAACGTAAGCAAGAGTAGCGCCTGTTCTTTCTTAGAAAAGATGCATAGATAAAAATAAGAAAAAAAAAAATCTTCCTATCAGAAAATATTTCCTGTAAGAGATTGCAGCTGCAGCCACATCCCGCTCAGCTCTCCCTTCTGAGGGACAGCCTTCAAAAGAATTACACTGTTCCACAAGTCCATGAACACCTACGGGCAAAACCTAAAGTAAAACAGACACAGAACATTATTTTTAAGGTTTACTTGTTACAGATACAGTCTGGTTTTTTTAACATTGTGATTTCTGTACCAAATTAAATATTTGACAATGCATTTGTCACATCAAGCTGTATGAAAGACCGCAATTTCTCAAAACACGTCTCTGCATGGCAATATTACAGACAAATTCAATTGTTGCTTTCAGATGACTATAACTTCGACATAATAGGTCGCCAACTCATACGAGAAGAAAATTTATCTGGTACTGATCTTTGACACCCGTGAAACAAATACATTACAATAAAATTCTCATTATAAAGTTGCACAAATTTCTATGTTAACCATTCAGAGTTTATATGAAAAAGCAGAAGTTATCTACTGTTGATTCCTGATATAAAACAGTAGGTAGAAACCTAATGTAGAAATCTGAAGTTAGATAAATCCTTTGGCAGCATGTTCAGTTACAATCAGGCCTTAAAAATAAATATGATAATGTATAGAAGTATGAAGAGAAAAACCAGATCCTATTAACACCAAAACCCTCTAAATACACTATTTTAATAATAATTAAATTATTTTACACTATCTACAAGTTGTGTATCACAGAATGAGGAATACAAGAGATGACAGAATGGCAAATCCTGCTTTTATAAAATTTCAGGCTTTAACGGTATGCATATATGTAGCTGTGTAGAAAATCTCAGACAAATGAGTATATACATTATTTATATTTAATAATGAACTGAACACAATCAAATCACATCTCTCTAGTCATCTCAATTTAAGATACTCAATATTTCTGCTGGACCAAAGTTTTGAATCCAATAAAAATACCTATCCTTGGCCTCAATGTACTAACAAATATGGAGAATCTATCTAAATGATAGCAAGGTTTCGTTTGGAACAAAGTAAACTCTTACAAATAAATCTCCAAACGGTAAGAATTTTAAACAGCAGCATTGAAATTAATTATTCTTCTTAAAGAACGCAAGGAACAAGTTATCAAAATACTTCAGTATTGCTGCACGTTATTTATACTACACTACTTCAAGGGGAAGGATGAAGACAAATTAAAGTCATGTCAAAAGGAAAGAAAAAAAGCTTCCTTCCAACTGCACAAATTTAAATAAAAAATTATTTAAAGAGCAGGTACGGAATACCTTATTGCATAAGCATGAGGCTGCAAATGAATAAGGTCATGATAGTAAATAATTAAATAAAATGTAAAAGAAATGGAGATGGCGCCGAGTGAAGGGTGGTTTTTATTACTCAACAACAGCCTACAATCTAATAGATCTCATTTGGTAGAAAATTTATACACCAAACACTTATTTAGAGATTTGTGAGTTTCATGCATTTAATCAGGATGTTACCATCAGTGATTTGCTTCTATTATTTTCCCAATTTAAAGATTATTACTCATCATAAAATTGTTAAAATAGGTATAAATATGACTATGCTAAAGTTGAGTAGGTAAACAGTGATTTTTTTTCCAAAGGTTGAAACAAATAAAAGAAAGAAATCCCACATTCCAGAAAGATAATTCAGCTCATCTGCTCCTCTTGTACAAACCCCACCCATTAAAAAAGTGCATCAGGGAAGAAATTCTTAGGTTTCTTTTCTTAGCCACCAAATGCTACGCTTCCACAGTTCCAAGGCAATTCCTTTCCTAAAGACACGTCTGTCATTTTCAATATGCAACCACTCCTTGGATTAGCGGAGCACAATCCCACTCACAAAGCCTATACAGATAGCACATTAAATACACCTTTTTTTAAGAGCTTCTCTGATTGCAACTGGCATTTACAGATGGAAATAGCAGCAGAGAAAGGAAATCTAAGAGAGGCAAGAACCCCCTGGTCCCATAAAGACAATTCCTGTTCCACACAGCTCCCCGTTGGAACGGGAACAAGGCAGATTCTCACAGTCTTAAGAGGCTTCAAACATTCCCGATCCCCATCCTTTACCACAAGGAACTACAATACTCCTTCACTTCTAAATACATCCAAAAAGGAAAAGAGAAGAGATTCTGTACAAGTTTCTGGCTCAGCACCTTGTTATCCACAGAGTGCCCACTCAGTCAGCTTGGAGCATCCCTTGCCTGCTCTTGGCAAAGGAGACTTTGCTCCCCGTACCACCTCTGCCAAAAGACGGGAGCAAGTTCTAGCAAAACCCCACCTGTTTTCTTCCAGAGAAACACATCAGAAGTTCTCTGTAGTTTCCAAAAAATCTACTAGGCAGCACTGTAAAAATCTCGTTTCTCATATTTCTGTAGGTTACATGGTCCTCACCGTCACAATATCAAATAATTTTCTCTTCCAGCTCTCCACCGCCGAACTCGTGCAGTTGTTCCAATTACACAGTGCACATCATATCGTGAAGCTGACTACAGCAGCGCAGGGCGAAGGTGGTGTCTAAATCAGCAGAGATTCTCTAAAGCCACTGGGATAGAAGGATTGCCAGAGGAGGCAACACGTAACGAGAGCAACACATAACAATGACTATGCATCCTCAAGTGTTCAGAAACACATTTAAAAGAAAATTATTTTTGGACAATCTTTTAACTTAATATTCACAAGTGGCATTTCTTGAAAGCACTAAAGTAAGGGCTCAGAGTAGTCTGAAATTATTTTAAACCACCAGCTAATCTAGTTCAAACTATCTTTACGCAAATGCTTAACAATCAGATCTGATGCATGTTTTCACTCTGCATCACTCTAATGCACTAAGTTGGGTTATTTAAAAGGAAAATGTATTTTGATATCCGTGACAGGTATTCATAAAAACCCTTAGGTCAGGTAACCTTTTATTCATTAATTCAGAAATATGAGCTGGTTTGTTTTTAAAGGAGAGGCTGTTGGTGGTAATTTGTTTGTTGCTGTAGAACGGAATGAGCAGGAACGGCCACAGGATAACCTGGTCCTTGAGGCAAACTCGACGTATTATTCTGGTAAGCCGACATATCCACTGACATTCCCATCTGCTGCTGGGTGTAAGCAGCTGTGCTGGCAGCTGACGGAAGGCCAGGGTTCTGGTTCACGTACGTCTGGTTTAACACAGAATCCGGTCCTGGGCTGTAACCAAACAAAACAAATCTAATTCTGACAAGTTCATGTCTATTTATCCGATAAGCAGATTTGCAAATAAGAACATTGCTTTGTCCAAAAGCGATCTGTACATTTTCAAAATGATCAAACAGTATTGCGTGTCACTGTAAATATCCCAAGAACACACCACCTCTAGACAAGTAGTAAAATTACCATCAAGAAGAAGGTATTTTAACAGTTTCCTGAAGCAATACCTTAAATATGCAGCTTGAGCTGGCTGAGTTGCTCCAGAAGAATTTATACTTTGAGGCAGAGACCTCAACTGCCCCATCTGATCGGGTCCTAGGCTATAACCTGGCGAAATGGTGACCTGGTGAACACCCTGGATCATGTAGTTTCCACTAGGTGGCTGTACAGGATATGACTGTAAATAAAAAAAAACCACAAAAACAAACAAAACATTGTATATTTTTTATTTTCAATTAAGTAGCAGCAAATGTGGCACAGAATACCACCACAACGAACAAATATGTTAGGGTTCAAAGGCTGAATGAACATAAATTAGTTTTTCCAACAAGGCTCTAAAACCAAAACACATAACTTCTCATAACACATTTTAAATAGGCATCCTTTATTTCATTAGGAGGCAACTTTTTCAGAAATGCACTGCTAACGAGGTCAGTGCTTAATATTTGAAAGAACCATCTTTTGTACCACGTACAAGACCTCTGCCCCTCCCAGCAACCTGATTTCTTTCTCTCTAATTTGCCTCGTCTTCAAAACGTTCAATCTTTAAGTATTTTGATGCACAGAGTGGAGTAGGAAGATGGGCACCGTATGAGATTTGTTATTTAACACATTTTGGAAATTAAAGCATAAGAATATTCTAAGACTGTAACACAAATGGAAAGCAACCACCCTAGTTTCTTGCATTTCTGGTTTAAGATAATGCAAGTCTTTACTCAAAGTTCAGATAGAACAGGTAGTATAACATGCTTAGTCTACAGAAGTCGACGCTGATCATTGGTTTTGCACTAAGCTCAGCATGGTTAGCATTATCTTGTATTTTTCACCGCGGGAAGCATGCATCTTGGAAGAAACAGTAAACTCCAGTTGCCTTTTTGCTTAAATTTTTTTTAACCTCCAAATATAATGAATTTTCCATCGTTACCAGGAGTTAAGGACACAGAATTACTTTTAACTGACATTTTCAGATTTAGCAGTTGCTATGGCAACTATTCTTTTCCCATTGAAAAATTAACATTAACGTAAAATTTGCTTCAAGTAAAACACTCATTCTATGCTTTCTCCAAAAAGGATCTTTAAAATCCTTCTCTCCTCCATTTTTGTTTTGTTAAAACATCAATATGGCCTATTAGAGATACTGTAAAACAGTTTAGAGTAACTACACCCCCTAATACAACATGTTCATTTCTTAAGGAACAAGAAGAGACCCAAACCAGACTCGTGTTTCTACATTTAGAAGTACGCTGCACTCATGATTAATGCACTAGTATCAAAGTTCACTCACATCCCCGCTATTAGATAAGAAAGTAACATTTTACTTTAAGACTGAGGCCATGACTCACAGCAAGAATATCCACCACCGCTGCTGAAACACACAATTCTAACTGTAAAAAATTAATCATGGAAGGAATCTTTTAGTATTTTCAATACAGTAGCTTTCTGTTAAATAGAGCAAAATTAACAACTATACCTTATTGTACAAGTAGGTAACTGCAAACTGAAGTACTCTGTTCTAGTGCGTAAATGATATTTTATTCTAAGGGCTATAAAAAGTCACCAGGCAATGTCAGATTGTTCGTAGGCTAGCAAGGAAGCGTACGCTTCATTTTTGCTGTCATCTTTTTAAATAGAAATCTATATTAGGAAAGTCTCTATTTCCAGAAAAGGATACTGACCTGCACTGAAACACCAGAAGATGTAGGTGGGTATTGTGCAGGATGGTGGAGTTTTGAGTAGGCTGAATACATCGGTGTTTCATTCATCAGTTTGTTATAGAGCTCCAGAGCTTCTAGAACCTTCACATTCAATTCAGATAATTCTGAATGCTTTCTGTTTCAAAACAAATATATGCAAACACTAAGCTTCTCTAACATCTAGTGTTAGATGGTAAAAAAAAGAAGAGTGGATCATTAAACAGTTTTTAATATGCAAGGGAAAAAAAACTTAAAAGGTAGATTGTGAATTTCTTAAAGCTTCTACGTTGTAAAATTGCCATTCTGGTTCTTCCATTGGTATAAGAAACAGAATGGTGGGACTTACACCAATGGAAGGAGAGTCCAAGTGGTGAGTAACTATTCTTCCCTAGCTGCAATAAGGCAAGCAACTCCACAGGTGTTAGTTACCTTTTCACCCTCAGATATGCCTAGGAGGATGAGGGGGAAGAGGTAAAGGTAGCATTCAACACATTTTCCTGTTAAGGAAGACAGTCAGCAGCAGAGTGAAAACAGATCGCAAAAGGCTACAGTCAAAAAGTGCTAATATAAAATGCACCCAGTAAATTTTGGAGAGCAGCAATCAAATCTTAGTACACACACTGGGACCTTGGTACCTAAGCGTTAAAGGTAGAATTGTCAAAATTTCTTTCTTGCAAGGTTTTCTAGCTTGGGGGATGAAAGTATTGAAAAAAAATTAGTACAACTGCACAATTTAAAGTAAATCATATTAAATAATGCAGAAGCTACATTATGGCTCACCTATCTATCTCTTCTAGTTTTTCATCTATCATTGGACCCATCTGTTGACAAATATCTGTGAAGACAAAAGTGTCAAGGTAGTTAAAGTCTTGCACAATTAAGAGTTTAAATGCAGCCAAAAAATACTTTATCCAAGTACACTAAAATAGCACACGAAAGCAGAGAGTGCACTTAGTTATCACGTGTGTCCCATTCCTCCAGCCCAAACAGAAAAAATACATTGGTTATTCTGGT